TTCTTACAGCGCTGCAGTTTTGTTGCTTGTTTAGACAAAAGAAACTCATTTATGCAACACATTTGACATTTTCACTGTTTGGTTGATGATTAAAATGTTTGTGTTTCAAATGAACTTTGGACAAGAAGTGGTTTAACAAAGACTTTTAGTATCACTGCCATGATTTAGCCCAGGGGTGTCAAACATACGGCCCGGGGGCCAGATCCGGCCCTCCAAGACCTTTAATCTGGCCCTTGAATGATTTTCTACTCAAATATTTTTATTATATTTTTAGTTAATTTTCTGTGGTGTTTATCACAGCAGCGTCTCCAGCGTCTCTGTACGTGGCCCCTCCCACCAGAGCAGCACAAATGAAGACTTGTCTCTTTCCAAACGCTCTTAAAGGACGATCGTTTTGACTGTTGACCGTGACACCCTCATCAGAAAAATATCAAAAATGAGAAAAGTGGAGACGCCAAGTGCAGGATTTTCCAAGAAAAAATTGACTTATTCCTGTTTGCAAACAAGTTCATGTTAAAACATTGTGTTGAAATTGTATTTTTCTTAAAGTTTCAGGTTGTTCATAATATTATAATATTTTTTAAAAGAAAGAGTTCATCGATTAAAAAAGATTTCTGTAATAGATTTGTGTTTCTCTGCACAAATATTTGACCTTATTGTTATTTTTGAGGTTTATATGACATGAGTTTGACACCCCTGATTTAGCCTTTTTACTGAACCTTATCGAATCGTTTTTAAATATATTGTATCAAATTGTAAGCTCACTGTATCGAGATATGTATCATATCGTGGCCTATGTATCGATGTATGTATCGTATCAGCAACTTCTGAATGATACCCGGCCCTAATACTTATGGTATGAGCCTTATCTCCTCAGGAAGGTCCAAGTCGCCTGGACTGAAAAGGCTCGATCAGTTTTCATCCGGAGCCTGGACTTTGGAACAGCCACAGGGATCTGCCGGAGGATCTGCGGCTGCAGGAGGCTCGTACGGGGTTAAAAGTTCTGAAATGTAACTTGGTGCAAGACTTAAACAACAAAGACCTGGTCATTCCTAAAGCCCGCACAGCTTTGGGCCGTTCCTCATTTCAGTTTTCTGCAGCAAGTGACTGGAACCACCTTCAACACACTTTAAAACTTAGTTCGTTTTTACCTCTGTCGATTTAAAAAAAAACTCCATCCAGAGTTTTTTTTTACAGGATAATCGCACATTTGATGATTTTAACACTTTTATATCTTTAATCTGCAAATGTTTCACTGTCTTATATCTCTAGTCACTGTTTCATGTTAAAGTTTATGTGTGAGTGTTTTCTGTTTGTGCTTTTGTTTTATTCTGCCTCTTTGCCAGGTCGTCATTGTGTTCTCAACTGACTTACCTGGTAAAATATTGAATAAATGACTAAATAAATAAATAAAAATACATGGGCAGCCAGTGAAGGGAAGCTGAAAACGTGGGTAATGTGTTGATGTCTGAGCCGAGCTGCTGCGTTCTGAACCAGTTGGAGGCGGGAGGAGGCAGTTTTGAAGCATGAGTCTCCAACCTGTAGCTCGGGAGCCGCCAGTATCTCTCCTCCCCTTTCCAAGTAGCTCACCAGGGATTTCTGAATTACACGTATTGTGCTGAAGAAGTAAAATTTGATGAATTAAATGCCCTTTACCATTGTACATGTATCATTTTAACGCCTGACTTTGTGCACTAATAAATGGATAAAGGTTTATGTTTTACAGGCATCTAACTAAGGGTGACCAGATTTTCAAAATGTAATGGCTGGTAATTATAAAATTGTGAAATGAGTGTGTAATTAAGAAACACTTTTCTGCATTTGTCCCATTCATGATTAGATTAGATTAATTTATTGTTTTTGTATGAAATACAACGAAGCTTTGACAGAGCAAATCTGTAGCAGTAAAAATGAACAAATATAGACACATCCTCACATCCATACCAAAAAAAAAAAACATTAGTCACATTTTCTTTATGTTTTGGTAGTTTTTAAGCAGCTTTTCTGTATTTTACCAAAACAAATGCTAATGTATGTCTCTCTTTACTGTTGACAGGAACCAAATTGGTCAAAAACTGAGACACCTGGGACACTTCTTGTATAAAACTGGGACAAATCTTTGGTTTAGTATAAATCTGCTGGGACAGGGGACACAGGGCTTAAAACTGGGACTGTCCCGGGTAAATAGGAACGTCTGGTCACTCTAATCTAACTGTACTTCATCTAAAGTTTGCTGTGGCTCTACTAAATTTCTTGTGAACGCTAAAACTAGTAGCTCTCTGGCATTTTTGTTTTGTAAATGTAGCTCACAGGAGGAAAAAGGTTGGAGACTCTTTCTAGCAAAGCCATGTATGGAGTTTAAAAACACAGTGGAGCACTTCCTGTATTACACATCACAGAGCGTTTTCAGTTTGAGAGAAGAACTCAGGTTTGTGCGTTAAACATGTGTGAATGAATTAAAAAAAACACAACTCCAGGTCTGTTTTTGACGAGGGAACGACACGATAACAGAAGTTTCCATGGTGACGGAATGCACACATTGGCAAACACCGGCAAAAATGCTTTAAGAAAAAATGCAAAATGGATGTAAACGACATATTTTCAGGAGCCTGTGACCGATATGAATGTTCGTGGTCTTGTTTAGGTGACCATGAACGCTGGCGAGAGGTGAGAGTGACTATCTGAGCTTGTGACTGTAATTTTATGTGCGAACGACTTGTTTTAGTTCCAAATAATCCAGGTCTTTATGATCAGATTGTGTTTAAACAAAGCTCAGTTTAAAGGGAGAGTTCGGAATTTTGGACATAGGGCCTCATTTTCTAGTGAGCCAGAGTACTGTAGATATGTGGAGTAGCGATGGGCATTTGATGAAATTTTATTAATCGATCGTCGGGAGAATTAACGATAGAGTTTCGATTAATCATTAATGTTTTTATATAATAAGTATCATCATTATTATTACTATTACTAATTTGCATAAATAAATTCAACTTTACAACATATAAACCATAACCACAATAGAGCCACATCAGACCGTTTGACATTATAATGTGTTTAATGCAGCTTTGCGCAAGTCTTACAGAAACAAAACTTAAAACCGTGTGGCTAATTTGCATAAACTAAGCAGAGAAAAAAAAAAAACATTCTTGTGCTCTGATGTGGTTCAACTTTTGTCGGACTAAAGGACTCAGTGGAATATAGATGTTCTTTCTGTGACAGAGGAATGCTGATGCTGAAGGTGAGTCTGTTCTGTGTGTAGCGGTGTTTTCAAAGATCGTACATGTGCAGGATTAGAGCAGCTCTTTATGTTGCAGTAACCGGGATACAGCGTCTACACGCACCATGACGAAACCGGGACACTGATGTGCTTGTAAACTCACTCACTGAGAGGTACAGTGGTCTCCAAGGAGGTGCCACAGTTCAAAAGTGGAACTGAGGCCACAACTCCAGCGTTTGCGCTGTCAGACGCAGCTTCATATCTACGCCCAGAAACCTACATTCGGTTTGTCGATTAGAAATTAATGTAATTCTTAATGATCAATTATCGATTAGTTGACTAATCATGCCCATCCCTAGTGTGGAGACATTTTTTAAAATATTTCATCCAGTCCTTGTATTTGCAGAGGTCGCTGGTGCTAGACTAGTGCATGTCAATGGATAGTTATCCTGCCACTAAAAACAACAAACAAATCTATTATTACACCAGACTGTCCATGTGACTGTCTGTGTTGATAGAATAATTTTAGAAGTAAAACCAGCCTTGCATTTGAAGGATTTATGTCTGGTCAGCAGCAGAGGGTTGTACTTCCTGATAGAAAGCTCGGCAGCGGTGGACTGATATCACTTAGCACCTGTCTTACCGGCTCTGTAATAGTTTCTATAGTTTCTTTATAGCGACACATAGGCTACGTTCAGACTGCAGCCTGAAGTGACCCAAATCCGATTTTTTGGCCCCTATGTGACTTGTATCCGATCTTTTAATGACCAGATCCAGTTTTTTCAAATGCGACCCAGGCCACTTGGATATGTGGTCCTAAAACTGATACATATCTGATCTTTTGACATGCGACTTCAGTCTGAACGGCCAAAGCGCATTCATCCGACCTACACGTTATCAACAAGCCACAAACATCACTATTCTGCGCTGAAGTAGGCGGAAAATTGTTAATGAACTCCGTGTCACTGAAGCGAGGCACATCACTCACCACTCTTGGCTATGTCTCCACATCCACATGTTCCTTTCAACGGACGTTGCTGCCGCTGTGAACTACCTTGCAAAAACATCGGATTTCACAAAAAAATCCAAATTGAGTGTTAAGCCCTGCAGTCTAGCCTTACTAGAGCAGAGCAAAATTCCGCTGCAGTAACCTTGTATCGCATGAATCGTTGCATGTTGAGGGACTATTTTCTCAGCCGCAGCGGAATTTTACTCTGTTCTAGTTAGTTGTGATGATATGAGCATGGCCATGTCTGGAACAGGCTATGGCAGCTGCAGGTAAACAAGCTCGCTGCTGCTGCTCAGATATACATCCTTCAAATGTAAGATTGGTTTTGCTTCTAAAATTATTCTGCCAACACAGACATTTACATCGACAGTCTGGAGTAATAATAGATTTACTTTGGGTGTTTTGTGGAGTGGGTAAGACTGTTTTTAAGGCAGGATAACTATGGCCATTGACATGCACTAGTCTAGCACCAGTGACCTCTGCAAATACAAGGACTGAATGGAATATTTTTATAAAAAGTGTCTCCAACACTCTGGCTCACTAGGAAATGAGGTCCAAAATTCTGACCTGTCCCTTTAAAGTCTAACTTGAATAACTTCAGACAGAGCAGTGCTTATATTTAGCATCACACCTCCAGGGAACACTGATGACATGAGCTGCAAAATATTTCCAATGCAACACTTCTTACAAATGATATTATTACGTTAAATTGTGTTTTATAGAATACAGGGCTTGTTAGTTGTCGCTGTGCTCGGTGTGGTGTGAGAGTGGGACCTGCAGGAGGAGCATGCGTGTGGGCCGACTCTCCCAGGGTCTCTGTGTGAACTGCGTTACCGCGGAAACCTCGTCATTGGCGCAGTCTGTGCCCTTCCACTTCTGCAGCTGCCCGTACGCCGGCTGACTGATGTCCAGCACTGAGTCAATCTGAGCACAAAGTTACTCATCAGCACGATATAAATACAAGCACCGATGACAAAAACAGGAGCAACAAACACATCATCTTGCATAATAATTTGGGAAAAGAAAATCTCTTTTAAAGGGATGTTACAATAGCTGCTGAGTGTTGAGTGAATGAATAATGAACTGTAAAGAGCTATGGGTATCTTGAAAGGCACTATATAAATGCAGTGATTATTTAATTCATTAATTAATTAACCAAAATATTGTGATACCGTATCGTCAAAGCTCACAATAATATGGTGGTCTGTCACAATCCGTGTATTATTTGTTCATTAGTTTTTTAATGTAAAACCAAAAATAAGAAAAAACAACTATTTTCTTCATTATTTGTCTCCAAAACCAAAATGAAAAAACGGATAATGATTTGTTTTTTCAGTTTTCGATTTTGTGTTTAAATGAATAATGGAAAAAACAGATAAAGGCCATTTCTCATTTATATGACCTAAACTGCGATTCTGGACTGAACCAGGACTGAACCAGGACTAAAAAAAGACTAAATCAGGACTAAACCGTTTTCAGTCCTGGTCTGGTCCCGGTCTCAGTCCCAGATTCCCGGTTTGTTTATAAAATGTGTTATATACAGTAGAGCCCGACCGATATGGATTTTGTTGTGGCCGATATGAAACCGATATAATGGGAGTTGGAGCTGCCGATAGCCGATATAATCACCGATATATTTAGTGATGTAAAAATTCACTGTAAATCTTGAATTGATTAAAAAACTTAGGTTTGGCTCTAGTGGATTCTAAATTGGGTTTATTTAGGCAACATTTATTGTTATTTTGACTCTTTACATCATATTTACAGACAGTAGATTGGCCTAATGGCATTTTTGCATCACATTCTAGCTACTAGTGATGGGTATTCCAGTTTTTTTTTTTTTTTTGTTTTTGGAGAACTGGCTCTTTTGGCTCGGCTCACTAAAGCAGCTGGCTCTTTCGGCTCCCAAGCGACTCTTGAGATTGTTTTGTTGCAAGCAGGACTAAACCAGAACTGAACCAGGACTGAGTGTCGGGACTCGGTTTCTATCTCTCTCCTGCACTCGAGCCCAAGATTAGTCCTGGTTTATTCATTTCATGCTGAACTGCAGCCAAATATGCACTTTTTTTTTATCCTATGCACACGCAGATTTCTGAAAGTTTCGTTTTTAGCCGCTGCTGCTGTCAAACTACGGGTCTACATGCGGCATGAAGAGAAAAAGTGAGAAAAAGAGAAAACACCCCTCCCAATAAGAAGCAGGCTCCCGTTGTTCGCTCTAAGAGCCGCTTCGATCGCGACCGACCCATAACTCCTAGCTAGTAAACTATCGCTATTAGCCTTTAGCAATAAATGCTGCGCGCCGCGGTAGTTAATTATATGCATAAATGTGGATCATTCACACGTCTATTCACAGCTCATTTACATATCAATGCTGGTCCAGTAACAAATATACGGCCAATGTAGTCACTTTACAATAGACCAATAGAAAACAGCCTGTTTGTGTGCGGGAGCTACAGCAGCTAACCGCTAACAAAATCTAAACTAGCTTCAAAGTCGATTTATTTCCAACACTCACCGCTCACACAGGCTCCTCCTCACATCACAAGTCTGCACTTATAAATGTCCTTTTAATCCAGACTCAAACCGATTGTCCGTAAAAAGAATATAATCTCAATGTTGCACCGCTGCGGGTGTAAACAAACACACCGAGTGAAGTGACGTCACTCTGGGGGTGTGTTCAGGGACAGTACGGACACAGACAAATTACACCGCAGATAAATACTGATGCGGAGGCACATATTAGGACATTTATCTGTCTGTAAATTGGATTAAATGAACATAATGTAGAGAGTCTTAGCTTTATAACGAGGTATAACATGCCCACGTGAAATATCGGCCCATATCAGCAAGCATATCGGCCGATAGCCGATATGTCTCCAGGTGCCCATATTGGCCGATAATATCGGCCAGCCAATATATCGGTCCGGCTCTAATATACAGTAAATAAAGTGGATTTTACAAAAGCCAGCAGAACTCATAACGAACACAAATGCAAACGCCACAACACAACAAAAAGCCACAACGGAAGTGACTGCGGGACTCTATTTTCTGAAGAACTAAGCAAAGCATTAAAGGATCAAGCGGGAAGTGAATGGGAGAAGTTAAAGAAGAATAAGAGTGTGAAAAATAAAGAAAAAATTGAGAAATGAATGAAGTTGGAAACGTGAGTAAAAGTCGCTTGGTCCGTCGGAAAAAAAATAGTCCTGCGGTCACTTCTGTTGTGGCTTTTTTGGTTTGTTGTGGCTTTTGGTTGTGTTGTCATGTTTGTATTTGTTGCAGCGTTTGTTATGAACCCTCCCGGCTTGCGTAGGATTTGGATTTGGAAATACATGTGATTCATGTTAGGGATACACTGTTCCGATACTGTTGGATATCGGCGCCGATGCTGAACTGCTTCTGGATCGGCTGCCAAGTATGAGTTCAGAGTTCAGCCGATATCCTGGTCGTACATACAAATTGACGTAATTTGACTAAGTACAGGTCGTAGTCGGATCAGAAAGTCTCATAATGTTTGAATTTCTATTTATTCAAAAGTGTCCTATTGTTGCTTCAGAGATAGAAAACAGCTACATAACACATTAGGATCAGTTTTGTCTCATTTTATTTTATTTTTTAAGGAAACAAATGCCGTTTTCAGTCTCTGCACTGGTGTCGGTGAATATCAGGCATCGATAGACACTTAAAGCTATAGTATTGGAATCGTATCGGAACTGAAAAAGCTGGATCGGTGCGTCTCTAATTCATGTATTTGTTTGTCAGTTCATATTTCAGTCTTCTTTCAAATGTTAATGCTTCTGGATGTGTTTAAAATTGTAAAACTGATTAGTCGCAAAGTACAAACGTGATAAGCCATTTTACCATAATCCTTCAGCCCTGTTTGCTCAAGATATTTGGTTTTACTTTAATTTTCATCTAGTTTACCCACCTTGGAGCGTCTTGAAGACATTCTACTGAGGCGTCTGTCCGGAATTAGAAATAGTTACTTTCTCTTCAATAAGCTTTGGTCTGTGCTGTCTGCATGTTTGTTTAGGGCTAAATGCCCGTGTAACACTTGTGTCCTTTCCACTAACTGTTTATGCCCGTCTAAAAACGACTTACGTAATATTCTAATTTGAACCGTGTTTTGTTTCCCGGCTGACTAGACTTTGTGTCTGGGGACTGTGCAGATGAAAAATAACCCTGTGCCACTAACTGGGGCTTATTTAGAAAAATGTTCATTAATGAGCAATGTTCCTGGTGAGTGCTTAATAAACGAAATGTCAAAATAAATAAGCCTTTTTATACCTGGACACAAAAGATGCCGCTGAGCACAGTCTTCTGGCTTTGAGAGAGGCCCTCTGGGAGAACAGGGTGGTCCAAGTCCCTCAGGTCTGTCAGCAGCCACTGGTCGTACACCTACAGCGAGGACAGAGCAGAGACAGTTAGAGCTCTGTAGATGCTGTGCAATCACATCACGCTGGGGAAGCTCTACATGTATGTGTATGGTGAAATCTATTAGTGAAGGTGTATGGTGTGTCAGATTCTTGCAGATAAACCCTGGAACAGTCTTTCTGAAGATGTGAGACAGACTCTACTCAGACTCTGTTTAAATCTAGACACTTCAGCTGCGTCTGACTGAAAGTTTTTCATTCCGCGCTCTTCTCTCTAATTTATGTAATTAATGTCTCTCTCTCTTTTTTTAATTTTATGATGATTTTTTTATATTTTGATTTGTTTTTATTGTGATTTTAATTTGTTTCTTATTCTGTAAAGCACTTTGAATTACTTTGTGTACAAATTGTGCTGTACAAATACACTTGCCTTACCTTGCCTATGGAGTTTAAAAACACTGTGGAGCACTTCCTGTATTAACATATGACATTTCAAAGCGGAACAGAGTGTTTGTGTGTTAAACATGTGTGAATGAAACAAAACACAACTCAACTATATCATTTATTTATATTCAAATCCTCAAAGTAGTCAACCTTTACCGACAGTGCTGTAAACTCTTGGCCTTCTCTCAGTAAAACTCTTGATTAAGTCACATGAATGCTATTTTTTAATATTCTATATTCTAAAACACATTTTGAGTTATTTAAAGTAAATTTGTGTTTGCTACATTCCATATGCCCTGAAAACCCATCTCTTTAAAAAAACCTTTCATTAACTGTCTTTTTCTCTTGTTTGTCGTTGTTTGTCTTCCCATGTAAAGCGTCTTTGGGTATCTTGAAAAGCGCTATACAAGTGTTATGTATTACGTATCATGTATTATTATTATTATTATATGTGTTTTCATGCATTCGGTGAGAATCTACAAACTAAATAATCATGGACATAAAGACGAAACGCAGATGAAAGAGTGTGTAGTGTATTTTAAGTGTGAAATCCCTCAGTCGTTCAGGTAGAATCCATGGCAAAAGGAGAAATTCAATGAGTTAATTGGACAAAAGATTTTTTTTTTGTCAAATACGTTTTGCAACCTGCTTCTTCAGTTCTGGTCAGACTCAGGTGGACACTGCCTTATATCTGCCTGAAAGAAGGAGCTAACTACACTGAAACTACTCTGAAACTAACACACCTACTTGTTTACGGTTTCTATTAATTAGCTCAGCCTATTCAACTTGTACTGAGCATGAGGTCATATTAGCAGAATCATTCAGGGCCATAATGGAGCTTTCACACCTCTGGACCTGACCTGACTACCCCTATTGTTTTCTTTGTCTTGATTTAATTCTGAGGATGGAGTTGTAGATGGGAGACAGATGATGAGGCCTCCATTTCTATTCAATAGGCCGAGCTAACAAACAGAAACTGTAAACAAATAGGTGTGTTAGTTTCAGAGTAGTTTCAGTGTAGTTAGCTCCTCCTTTCAGACTGATATAAGGCAGTGTCCACCAGCATCTGACCAGAACTGAAGAAACAGTTTGGATGAGCTACGAAATGTATTCAACCAAAATAACCTTTTGTCCCGATGAGACATTGAGTTTCTCCTTTGCCGTAGTGTATTTTAACCAATCCTCATAACACTTAAATGCTGATTAATTAAACAGTGTAATAGTATAGTTAGTATAGTTGACTCTACCTGTTTGTTGATTTGCTGCTGTGTGAGTCGGGCTGCTCCTCCGGCTTCCTCCTGTATCCACTCCACACAGGCCTGGAGCCAGACGAAGGGCACCTGGACCTGGCAGGAAGACTCCAGCCAGCTCTGGGCAGCTCGCACCACGGTCTCAGGTGCCATCCGGAGGTCCAGACCTTCTTGACCTGGGACACAATTTCTCCTGCTTCCTCTAAGAATGCACACAACAGAAAATATGCTTTTTAAATTGTTGGCAATAAATAAAATCAAATTGGAATTATGAAACAGACATACCACACTTAAGGAATAAAAGGAAAAAAAAAACAGTTTGATAAGAATTCAAATAGTCCTACAAGTAAATTTTGGTAATTCTAACTTTAATTTGATTTCAGTTTAGGGATCAGATTTCAGTTGCAATAGCTGCTTTGACAGTGATGAGAAAAATACTTTGAAAATGTATTTAGTTACAGAATAAAGGAAACCAAAATTTAGATGAGTTTTGGTCAAATCAGAGTACTGTATTCTGAATATTTTTACACAGAGTTACATTAATTATAGTATAAAAACATTATACAATCACAAACAGCTTTATTTTTGATTCACTTTTTGTCAACCATTATTTGTCCAGTTACAGACAAAAAACATGCACATTCTTTTTTTCTAATACAGTGCAGTTCAAAGACAAAATTACATGATGAAGTACAACCACTTATTCCTTTGATTGTATAAAAGTACTGAATACCACCAAATGAAAAAGGAACTGTACCAAAATATACATTTACTCAAATTTTGTATTCTCAATATGTATTTTCGGAGCTTTGATGACTCTCTTGATTGATGATTTTCGCTATAACCTATTTTAAGACGATGACTGTGGTTACACGCACTCTCAAACTATGATAATAATTACATTTTTTTGTTGTAAAATGATTAAAATGCTGCAAACTTGTAAAATCATCTAATTTCTATCTGTCTCTCCTGGTTACCCACATCAGATTTTGCAGTTAGCCTGTCATTGAAATAATCTTAAAGGTCCAGAAATGAGATAATAATAATAATTTAGCGTGAATGTGAGCAACGACACTGACAATCTGCACTTTAAGAAGCTTGTCAAGTTTGTAAATTACATATTAATGCATTGTTTGGCATCAAAAATACCACAAATCTATCTGTAAATGTTGTAAATGATCTAAAACTGCAGTAAATATCAACCAACAACAACTTGCCCGTGATGCAGCTAGAATAAACCGTAATATAACACAGTACTACACCACTACTGCTACATACTCAGTGTTGGGGAGTAACAGATTACATGTACCGGAGTAGTATAGTATAGTGCCGGGCACTAAACCAGGTCTAAAGCAGGTCTACAGCAGGTCTAAACCAAGACTAAAGCAGGTCTAAACCAGGTCTAAAACCATTTCTAAACCAGGACTAAACTATATCTAAACCAGGTCTAAACCAGGACTAACCCAGGTCTAAACCAGGTCTAAAACCAGGTCTAAATTAGGTCTAAACCAAGACTAAACCAGGTCTAAACCCAGGTATAAATAGACTTAAATAGGACTAAACCAGGTCTAAAACAGGATTTAACAGGACTAAATCATGCTGAAGGACCGTGCTTCCTCTTCTTCTATCAATAATATTTTTAATTTGGTTCAGTAAAGTCTGGGCTTTTAATTTTCTTTTAACAAACAAAACTTCTTCTGTGAAGATTTCCTCGTCTTTGATTCTCTACAGCAAACCAAGTAATCTAAAGTATTCAGATTACGTTACTCACTTTAAGTAATTTAATGGATTACGTTACAAATTACATTTTGGTGTATGTAATCTGTAATCTGTAGGGGAATACATTTTAAAAGTAACCTTCCCAACACTGTTAATACTACTGTTTACTTACTACTACTTCACTGCTACTACGACTACTACAAGGCGCCAAAACTCGGCAATATTCATACGTAGCATTGTTTATAGTCATTGATTTCCCGCCTGGCTTGTATCAATAATGCAAAAATCATTCCAAGTCAAGTCAGCAATACAAAAAAATCCTCGTATGTGCATTAAATAAAAAAATCTGAGTGCGTATTCTACCTTATAAACCAATTTTACTTCAGGTTCCAGGAGCCATCCCATCCGCGCTACCCAAATGTATCCGGAAGTAGGACGCAAACCGATGTGATTGGCGTTGATTTCAGCCAATGGAGTGAGGAAAATTGCGCGACGTCATTTCCACTCCACCAATCGCGGGGCTCCTCGGCGCGGGCACAGTGCAGTCGAGTTGGGTAGAGAAAAGAACGGGGACGATCGTAGCGTTGCTCAGCTTGCAGGTCGGTATGTCGCGCTGATTTGTGTTTTTTTCCCCCCGATAAATGACTTATATTTGACATCAGAACGGGTCGGTTTTAAAGAACGATGCCCTATACTTCCTTTTGCATACCGGATGTGTCAAACTGGCGTGTTTATTTCACGTTAGCTCAGCTTGTTCACCCGAAATGACAACATGGCGAAAGCGGCTATGTGTTAGCTCGAGTGGTTTTCCCTCGTTCAAGTCGTGATTTATGATGATGTTTTAATGACGAGCGTATCGGATGGCGTAAGAACTGCAATCAAACCAGAATTACAGCTACATTCTGCGGTTATTAAAAGTAAAAATTAAGCAGTCAGCGTTAAAAGATCGCTGCTAAAGCTACGTGGCTAACCTCGCTGTAGCTTTAGCCATTTTAGCTTCGAGGGAGTTGCATCGTTTTCCGTGCGCCATACTGAATTGTGTATGCATTACAAAAACGCATTTTCATACATTATTTTTTACGCTTATAACAAATCATTATTGCACTCCTAAACGTTTTGCTTTATTAATTCATTTTTGGGTGGATTATTCGACTCACACATTGATTCGTGTCTGTTTTTTATGCACCAAAGCTGATTTTAATACAATAGGTGACCAAAATTAAAATAATAATAATAATAAAATAAATAAATAAATAAACTGGGACATCCACGTTTTTTTGTTGGTTAGTATTAATAAATTGTTAAAACTGTTATGCAGAGACCATTCAGGACTAACATGTGAGTCAGTATAGTCACATTTTATTTGTGTTTTGGTCGTTTTTAAGCAGATTTTGTTGTATTTTCCCTAAACCAGGCATGTCCAGACTGCGGCCCTTAGACAAATTTTTCTTGACCCTCAGTCTTCCAGGAGAATTGGCCCAAATTAAATAAAATAAAAAATTAACCTTTTAATGCAAGTTTTTTTTTTTTTTTTATTTACCTTGATCGAGCTAATATTTAACATTTAGAGTGTGGTTTTAAGCATCTTAGCATGAATAAAGACTCATGGCTCATTCTAACCTGTTGCACATATTTCAATTATTCACTGTATTGAGCACCAGTCTATGGCCCTTAATCGGCCATCTGCTTCATCTGTGTTTAGATATGTGGCCCTTGAAAAGTTTGGACACCCCTGCCATAGACAAATTACTATTCATGTCTCTCTTTACTGTTGGCAGGGATCAGACTGGTCAAAAATAGCGACATTTCTTGTATAAAACTGGGACAAATCAGTGGTTTTGGATAAATCCACTGGGACAGGGGACACAGGACTCAAAACTGGGACTGTCCCGTTGTAAAAAAGGACATCTGGTCACTCTATATTACAATATTTTACTAGGGATATAACAATAACCGAAATGTTGTGATATCGTATCGTCAGAACTCTCACAGTAATATCGTGGTCCATCACAATATATCGAATTACAAGGTTTTTCATGTAAAAGTCTTAAAAAAAGAGGGAACTGTATTGGCCAGATCCTTTACTTAAGTTATTTTATTATGTAGTAAATTATTAAGCACTTTTAAGTCTTATATTGTTGGAATATGTCACTAATGATTCACAGTGAAGACAGGTCAAAGGTATTTAAAAAGGAAAAAATATCATATGTACAATTCTGTTAATAATTATCATACCAGGAGAGGCATATCCTGATAATATCGTACCGTGAGATTTGGATATAGTTACATCCCTATATTTTATCACTGTATCAATTTTGATACATAAATGGTCACCTTTTATATGGTTGATTGTTTAGTGAAATGAATGTATATATAGGAATTTTAATGCTAAATCTAAATGCTGTTTTATTGAAATTAAGGTTTATTGAGGGATCAGTTTTTAAAATATTGTTCATATTTTAAACAGCCCATTGTTGAGTGTGTCTTGGTATATAAAGATAAAGTCACACTAATAATGTATATTGTTTGGCATAAAAAATACCCCAAATCTATCTGTAAATGATCTAAAACTGCTGTAAATATCAACCAAAGACAACTTACCCATGATGCAGCTAGAATAAACTGTAATATAACAAACTACTACGCCACTAGTACTACTTAATACTATTGGTTATTTACTACTACTTCACTCCTTCTACTATAATGACACACTAATAATGTCTGTAAAAATGTTGTTACTATTGCTGCTGATATATTTATCACGGCCACAAAAAAATCGATAACATAGTAATTAGATCAGTTTTAGTGTCTTGTTACATGCACTAAATAAATCTAATCGTCAAACGGACCCGGTGACATTTGCCAGTTAATCATTGGCTTTTTAGAGCAACGGTTGTATTGAAAAGACGAAGTACATCTTAAAATAACTCTGTCTTTAACACTTTCTCTTTCATTTTGTTCTTTGTTACATTTGCCCTTTTTTTCAAATAATTTCCCTTGTGGATTAATAAAGTCTGTCATTTTCAGAAATACTCAACATTTTACATGGAATTTCCAACACTGAAAACTCCATAAATCATTGGCTGCGGTTATATCCACGCTTAAAATCAGATTATTATCAGATTTTTAGAGTTATACAATTATGAAACTAACATGTAAACACCAAAATAGTCTCTTTGGTTTCAGATTTTGCATGTTGTGTGCAATTTAAATCATCTTCAAGGCCTAGAAATCAGACAATTGATCAGATTTTTTCAGATTTTATACTTCATTACTTATTTTTTTATTTTATTTTGACTTATACATTTCCATTTATATAATTATACCTTATTTGACACCTGTCTCTTGCCACCTTTTTTGCTACTTGCTTAGAATTTATTACCATTTATATATTTTGCTCTCTGTTGTTATATTGTGATGTGCGAGGTTCTGTGTCCAAATAATTTCCATTGTGGATGAGCAGAGTTTGTCTAAGTCTAATTTTTGGCGTACATATGAACAGAGAGTCTTGCTTTCACACAGGTTGCAGCAGCTGTGTGGTCCTTGCTTGCTTGGTACCGCCTATCTACACCCCCTTGTTCCCAAGATAAATATCAGTGAGTGGCTCTTTCCTTACAGTTGCGCTTCACCCGTTGTTGGTCGTATTGAAGAACCGGGTCCGCGATGTTGTTGACAGTCTGCTCTTTATTCCCCAGGCTGCCTCCCTGCTTCTCCCATCTGCTGCCGCTAGCTCCCGGGCCAAGTTCCATCACCTGAATTGTACCGGAAGACAATGGAGACAGAGATTGAACAGCAAGAAGAGTCTACATTTAGCAACACTGAGAGCAACGGTATGTCAGGCCCGAACCGTTTGGGGGAAAAATATCTAAATGTGATTTGTCTGACAAGCATTGAGATTAGATTTGCAATTTATGTTTTAATAATAGGATTCTGTTCGCGTTTAAAGGCATCCAGGAGAAATTGCGACGAGACTGAAATGTTTGTACAGATCTAAACTACAGGGTTGTCAGCTTTTGTGCAGAATAACGTGGGATATTTTGTCGTTTGGGAAGGAAATTGTTGTACTTCAAAAATTGCAGCCTTTCCGATTTGCTTATTGTCTTGTAAATAATGGGAATTTAATGATTGTGTTATTAGCAAATTGCACACTAGGGCTGCAGTGTCAATAGAAATTCACATTGCACTTTGAAAGATCACAATTTATTAAGGACAAACTGTGAAATTTTGTGTCCAAACATGTTCTTAAATGCTCTTATCGGGCCTGTCCCGATAACAATTTGTGAAAATATAGACGATAAACGATATTATTGAAACTAATTTATGCCACGATAACGCAAGATTAGCAGATTTATACCGCTAAAACGATTCTAAGTCCACAATATTCTAAAAAAAAAGAAACATGAGCTGTAATAAATACCAGATTGAATCACTTTAGTCCTTCGTTTGCGTCCGTATTGACTCATAGAAGTGATTAATTTGACCTTTTACCACTCAAATCATATCATATATAGACAAAAAATAACCAAAAATTTCCCAGTTGTGCAAAGAATCTACACACGATAAACACTGACATCTTTCATATATAATATTTAATAGACTAATTATCGTGACAGGCCCAGCATTTATGGATTCCTCTAGTGGTTTAGAAGTTCTTGTCAGTCTTGTTTTAACTTTTAACATTTGTGTATTTTTGTAATTATGTTAGAATTATTCATGAAGGTTTTTTTTTCTATAATCCTATGACAGATGTAACACTTTAATTAGTTAGTGACAATAGGGGACGAAACATAAACCTTAAAACTTAAGCATTTTAGAAACATTTGGCTCTAAGGAAATATCCGTTTGCTCCTATAACCGTGTAGTTTAGATCTGTACAAAAATGTTCCGAAACGTCATTCTTGTGTTAGTTTTATTAGTCATAGTTCAGTCTTTTTGTCAACTCTCCAGGATGTGTTTAAAATATGAACTCGGAACAAAATTCTATTATTAAAATAAAACAAATGTTGAGTGATGTAAAGCACTTTGAGTGACTCGAAGGTGGGAAAAGTGCTGTATAAAAATGTAACTCTTTACCATTTATTGCAGCCTTTCTTTTTATTTCATTACATCTTTCCCCGGTGGATGGTGTTCACTGGTGCTGATAGTTTTTTTTTTTTTATCTCTTTATGACAGGTAAGCGCCCTGCTGAGGATGCAGACGAGCAGAAATCATTCAAGCGCTCCAGGAACTCAGATGAGATGGTAGAGCTCCGCGTTCTCCTGCAGAGCAAAGTAAACCACATCCCCTTTTATCATCTTTAAATCATAATTGAGACAGCCCTTCATGCTTTTATATTTATTTACATATTTTAGTTGCTTTAATTATAGTTGCACATTAAAAATTGCACTGTGTGACGTTTCTGGGGGGAGCGTCGTCTATCTGCTTGTCTCTATAAATGTACATATAAATGGGCATTACTAATAGAGGTGATCAGATTGAAAACTGGTGGATTTACCTTTTCGTAGTAAAGTACAACGTAATCAACATGAAATCTGTCTCTGTCCCTTCTCCCA